TCAATGATAAACATATCCTTGCAATAACAACCCCGGTCACTGTTGCATGAACACAAACAACATCAATCACCTAATTGCCAAATGCTAAATAATGAAAATAGTAATCTTGACAACGATTTTCTCACCTCAGCGATAATGAGATCTCAGTTAGATCCTCATCCTGGCTAACATCCTCATCTCAATAGTCTCATCTCGACGAACGTCCTCCCAGCATCCTCCTCATGCAGTGTCCTCATCTCAGCATCCTCATCTCACTTGTCCTTTTCCTCCCAGCAACCGTCTCATCTCATCTCATTTCAACACCCTCGCCTGAATAGTCTCCTCATAACATCCTCACCTCATCCTCATCTCAACATCCTCACTAAATGCCCTCATCATCTCATCTCATCCTCCTCATCTCAACATTGTCCTCAGTTGAACATCCTCATCTCAACATCATGACCTCATCCTCTTCATCTCATCCCCCTCATCTTAACGCCCTCCTCCCAACCAGCTCAACTCATCCTTTTTATCTCCTCCTCAACACCCTCCTCCTCACTCTTCCTCTTCACCTCGTCCACTCTTCTCACCTTCTCCTCCTCATCGCGTTCTCCTCCTCACTCGTCCTTTCCTCCTCACCTCGTCCTCCTCCACTTCCTCCTTCACCTTCCTCCTTTACCTCGTCCTCCTCACCTCCTCATCCTCCCCTCTCTCATCCCACCACCTCCTCCTCCACCTCCTCCTCTCCTCCTCCTCCTCCTCCTCCTCCTCAGGTGATCGACGAGACGCTGAGTCCGACTTGGACGAGATGCTGGTCCTCTCGACGACATCCTCGTGTACGGGACCAAGGAGGAGATGAAAGCTCAGCCTCCGCTCATCGTCGTCGAGATTTTCGATCAGGATAAAGTGGTAAGGGAGAGAGTGGGGGGAGGGAGGAGGGAGGGGGTTGGTGGATAGAGGGAGGGGAGGGGAGGGGAGGGGGTTGGGTGAGGGTGTGTGGGTGTGAGTGGTTGTGTGTGTGGTGTTGGGGGGGGGGGGGGTGCATGTGTGTAGGTTTTGATAATTGTGTATGTTTGTGTTTGCGTGTGTATGTATGTGTGTGTCTTGTTTATAAACTTGAGGTTGTAAATGCAGATGCAAAAAATGTCACACAGAAATCCATAACCAAATGGAGTTATGTAATTAATCTGAGAAATGCTTTCTTCCTCCTTTCCCACTCCGCCCCCTTCGTCCCATCCTGCACCTACCCCCTACCCCCTACTTCCCCATCTCCCTCACCACACCTTCGTCCTTTTCTCATCCTCACCCATCTCTCCTCCCCACATCCCTGTCCTCCTGCTTCCCCACCCCTCCTTTCCTGCCTTCCTCCCGACCACCCCGCCTCCCTCTTTCCTCTACATCCCAACCTCCCCTACCAACCTCACCACCAACCCTTCCTTTTCCTTTCCTCCGCACTTCTTCGCTCCAACCCTTCCCCCTTCCTTCCTCCCTCCCCACCACCCCTCCTCTCCTTCCTCCTCCTTCCTCACCCAACCCCTCCCTTCCTTCCTCATCCCCCCCTCCCCCCCTCCTCCCTCCTCACCTCCACCTCCTCCCTCCTCCTCCCACCCCTCCCACCCCACTCCCACCTCCCTCCCTCACCTCCCTCCCCCGTTCCCTCCCCCCCTCCCAGGGCAAATCGGAGTTCATCGGGAGAGCCCTGGCACGACCCCACATCAAGCTACGGGAGGAGCCCTACGAACGACCCCACCTCGAATGGCACGACCTCTTCCGGGGGACGGACCCGGGAGCTGCTGGCGACCTTCGAGCTCCTGCAGGTGAGGGAGAGGGGCTTCCCGAAGGCGTGGTGGTCGTTGTTTATTTGTTTGTTAGATTGTTTTTTTTGTGGTGTTTGTTTAAGTTTTTTTTCAGGGGGTGGAGTTTGATTTGTGTTTGTTTGTTTATGTTTTTGTTTTGTTTTTATCCAGCTCTATTTCCGTTTAGTTGTTTAGTTGTCTGATTAAAAACTGGGCATAATATGTATATATGGTTGCCACAATATCAATCCTGCGTCAGTTCATTCATACAATCCTCTAACTCTTTCTTTATCCTTTCCCTCCATTTGTCCCTTCCTCCCCTCCCATCCCTCTAAACGTCTTCCATCCTTCCTTACTTCTATCATTCAATTATTCATTGATTTCTTTTTTCCTCCCTTCCTTCATTCTTTCCTTTCTTCCTTCCTTCCTCCCATGCCCATCCTCCCTCCTCCTCCCTCCTCCTTTCCCTCCTTCCCTCCTTCTTTCCCTCCTTCCCTCCCCAGTTCCAGGACGGCGAGGAGGGAGGGGACGTGATCGCCGTACCCCAGGCCAAGGAGTACCACGGGGGAGACAGCGGACCCCTAATGCCGGTCCCACGGGGTATCAGGCCCACGCTCGCCAAGTACAGGCTGGAGGTAGGTTGGGGCTTTGAGGGGAGGGGCTTGTTTGAGGGGGAGGGGCGTGTTTGAGGGAGGGCTTCTTTGAGGGGGAGGGAGGAGGATGAGAGGGGCTTGTGTGTGTTTCGGAGGGTGTTTGTGGGGGGTTGTGTGGTGTGTGTGTGTGTGTTTGTGTATGAGGGTGATTATACATACATGTAAAGATATACGTAATAAATAGAATAACAATATAGATAAAAAAAACACATAAGACGCACACAAACAAACCAACACAAACAAACACACACATTACGGACAAACAAAAGACTGTAACTCGCATTCCACAAACAGGATAAACAAATAAACAAAATAAAAAAAGATAACAAATCAAACTCATAAAACGCCAAAACTCCCTCATCCACAAACAAAACAAACAAGCAAAATGACAGGAAACAGAATCAAAAACATAAAATAGTAATGATGATAAGATAAAATGGAATAATAGAAACAAAAAGATAAAGAAATAATAATGATAATAAAATGAGATGGAATAATAGAATCAAAAACATAAAAAAGAAATAATAAAATAAGATGGAATAATAGCAACAAAAAGATAAAGAAATAATATCAATAAAATGAGATGGAATAATAGAATCAAAAACATAAAAAGTAATGGTAATAAGATAAAATGGAATAATAAAATAAAAAAGTAATAATAATAAAATGAAATGGAGTAATGGAATCAAAAATATTAAAAAGTAATAATGATAAAATAAAATGGAATAAAAGAATCAAAAACATAAAATGATGATAATAATAATAAAATGGAATGGAATAAGAGAATCAAAAACATAAAAAATAATAGTAATAAAATAAAATAGAATAATAGAATCAAAAACATAAAAAAATAAAACGAAATAACAGAATAAAAAACAAACGAACAAAAATGAAATAAAAATGGGAAAAAATAACCTCCATGAATCGCTCCTCCACAGGTGCTGTTCTGGGGCCTCCGCGACCTGAAGCGCATCCACCTGCTGACGGTGGATCGGCCGCGAGTGGATGTGGAGGTGGCCGGGCACATCATCCAGTCAGCTGTGATCACGTCAGCGCGGAGGAACCCCAACTTCACGAATCCTGTGAAGTACATCGATTTGGTGAGTCCTGGGGGGCGGAGGTGGGAAGGGAGGGAGGGAGTGGGGGGGATGGGGTGGAGGGAGGAAAGGAGGGTGTAGGGGATGGGGGGTTGAGTCCTGGGTGGAGGGGAAGGGGAGGGGAGTAGGAAATGGGGTGGACGGAGGGAAAGGAGGGGGAATGGGGGATGGGGATGGAGGTTGAGTCCTTTGTGTTGCAGGATGGAGGGAGATGGAGGAGATTGCGGGGGAATTGTGGGAGAAGGAGAGATGGAGGAAAAAAGTGAAAAAAGGGGTTTGTTTTCGTTCCGTAGATTGCCTTCGGTATAACTCGCGCGCGTTCTTGTTCTTCCCTTCGTCGTCCTTACTTCCAATCCCCAATCCGCCAGGAACTCCCGGAGCAAGAGCTGTACTGCCCTCCAATCACCATCCGAGTCGTGGACTGTCGGAGCTTCGGGAGGTTCACTCTGGTCGGGACGCACATCATCTCGAACCTCCACCGCTACACGTGGACGCCCACGACGAAGAGGGAGAAGGAGGCGGCGGCGAGGAACGCGTCGCTGGTGCAGTTGCAAGGTGAGGACTGGGGAGTGGAGGGGAGGAGTGGGGAGGGGTAAGAAGGAGGGGGGGAGGGAGGAGAAAAGAAGGTGGAGGAAAAGGGGGACGTAGAGGGGATCATTATTTCCAACAGCCTTAATCAGAAACGAGATGTATTCCAAAGAATCTAAATGCCAACACAAAAATAGCCAATTATTTGAGTTATTTGCAATTATTTCAAGTCTGTGGTCGGAGCATCGGCGCTGTCGGGCGTACGAAAACTCGTCTGGTCAAGGTGTCGTACCGCTGTCTCACACAAGGAACACCCCGTGGCACGACGGTTTCTGTACATGTATAAGAAATAATGATTGTATGATAATTGAGATCTGAATGGCTTACACCCGATGCCACATCAAATGCTAGAACGTTGGTTTAAAACTGAATTATTCCGTTAGTAGATATTGACAAAAATCTATACCTGATGGGTTTGAAGATGGAAACTAAAAAATCCAACATACTCATCATTTCTATAACTATTGCTAGAATGATCACAGAGATAATAGTAATTACATCAATAACAATAATGATTATTTATTCCCAATTTATCAATGCTGCCTTCATGCGTTTCATTGTAAAATATCTTTTAGTCTTCCTTAAATGGCCAAATGAAGAGTTACAAAATAAAATTAAGAAATATTTGGCATTTTACCAATTCGGCGAGTGAGAGAGCACATGCTTGTTGACGAGCTGAATGGACATGTTGGCACGCCTGTGTGGGCAGAGTTTAGACTTGAAATTACATGAAACTTGGCAGCAAAAAGGATGATAATGAAAATAAAGATTGCAAGAAATTGTAGATAAGGACACTGCAGATAAAGCCTCTCCAGTCACTTAATAAAAGACCCAACCAAACCTAAACCCCAAGCCACTCTAACCTAACCTAACCCCTCCAACCGCCCTTCTTCCCCAGACGACCCGAACGGCGTGGGGAACAACAACGCCCTTGTCCCCAACAACGTCCACGGTGGAGGAGGTGGAAGCGCCGCCTACAGAGGGAACCACGAGCGAAGTCCTCTCCTGCAGAAGGACACCATCATCACCATCGACTATGTGCGTGTAGGATATTATCGTTCCTTTGGTTTGTTTCTTTGTTTGTTTGTTTGTTTATGTGTGATTCTTTCCTTTCGTGTATTGTTGATTCTTTTATATATGTTTATATATATACACGTGTTTTTTTTATTAATGGTAATTTTAAGTTAGTTTATGTAAGTTTTTTCATGATTCATTTTATGTAACTTTTGCTTGGTGGAATTCATTTTGTGGTTGCTTTGCAATGATTTAATACGTTTTTTCAGTTTGTTTTACTCACTAAAAGAGAAAGAGAGATAGAGAGAGATACAGACAGACAGAGAGAGCCCGAAAGATAGAGAGAGAGATACAGACAGAGAGAGAGACGAGAGACAGACAGAAAGAGAGAAAGAGAGAAGACAGAGAGAGAACGAGAGACAGAGAGAGAGAGAGAGAGAGAGAGAGAGAGAGTGAGAGCGAGAGACAGACAGAGAGAGCGAGGACGACAAACAGAGAAAGAGCGAGAGCGGGAGCGAGAGACAGACAAAGACAGCGAGAGAGAGAGACAGGCAGAGACAGAGAGAGAGCGAGAGACAGAGACAGAGAGAGAGCGAGCGACAGAGACAGAGGGAGAGCGAGAAAGAGAGAGAGAGACAGACACAGAGCAAGAGCGAGATGCAAGAGTAAGAGCAAGAGAGAGACAGAGGCAGAGATAGAGAGACAGAGAAAGTGAAAGACGACAGATAAAGAGACAGAATGAAATTTAAGAGCGAGCGAGCGTCCAGCCAACCAGATGCCCCCATCCCAGCACCCAGCGAGCGCCCCTCGCGGTCGTCCCTCATCCTGACGTCCCTCTCACCTCATCTCTCTTCCCACTTCTCATATTTTCCTCTCTTCTCCCTCCCCTTCTCCTCCTCAGGGATCTGGCGCCGTCTCCAAGCTCGTGGGCGTGACGAAGAAGGAGAAAGCGGAAGCGAACAGAAGACGGAAGCAGAGTATAGAAGTAGAAGAGGAGGAGGAAGAGAACAGGGATTGGTGGACGAAATACTTCGCGTCGCTGGAGGCCGTGGCCATTGTAGGTGTTGTGAGTTGTTTGTTGTGGTTTGGAACGGGGTTGTTGAAGGACTCTGTTGATTATACGGCAGAAACAGTTGGAATATATACTTGCGTAGATATGCAGGGTTGTAGAATATCTTGATTGTATAACGGATACAATTGGAAAATGAATTATAATAGGAGAGGGATATTTCCCGTAAATTCAAAAATAGTTTTTATTTATTTGTTGATTATACATCATATAAAGTTGGAAGACATACTAGCATTGTCATGATAAGGAAGGGAAACGGAACTGTATCTCTTGTAGATTCAGAATTAATTAATTTACCAACTCCTCTATTTATTCATTTACCTACATATTATTTACCAACTTATTGAATATTTCATCGGCACCATCTTGACTTTCGACCATAAATCCCCCCCCCCTCACCACCACCAGCAACAGCAGGAGAGCAGGGGGGCGAGGGAGCGAGCAGACAACCCCGACGGCGAGCAGACGCAGCAGCAGGAGGCCCAACGGGAGGCGGCGGCGGACAAGAAGAAGCACCACACCTTCAAGGCGTCGTCGACGGCGGCGAAGCTTGCGGCGAGACTCAGCCCGAAGACGCAGAGGAGAAAACCCAAGCAGAATATCGCTCTCATGAAGGTGGGTTCGGGAGGTGGGGGGATAAAGGGGCGATGGTGGATAGATTAAGAGAGAGGGGAAAGTAAGAGGAAGGAGGAAGGAGGAGGGAAGGAGAGGAGGGAGGAAGGAAGGGAGAGGGGAGGAAAGAGGGAGGAAGGAAGGACAGGGGAGGGTAAAGAGGAAGGGAAGGAAGGAGAGAGGGAAGGAGAAGGAGGGAGAGAGAAATGGAGGGAGGGAGGAAGGAAGAAAGAAAGAAAGAAGAAGAGAAAGAGACAGAGATAGAAAAAAAAGAAAAAGATCAAGAAAAACATACAAACCCCTCTTCTAACCCCCTTATTAACCCCCCCCCCTCCAAACAGGTGATTCCCGGAGACCTGGAGACGGAATTCAACGGCTTTCGAGAGTGGCTTCACACGTTCGAGCTGTACCGAGGCAAGAAAACCGGGGACGAACTGGAGGACGAGAACCGGGTCGTCGGCAAGTTCAAGGTGCGGATTACCGGGAGATTACAGTATTTGATGTTTGTTATAGTATCCGATTAAGTGATTCAGGTGAAAGTATAAGTAAATGAATAAAAAGGATAATGTAAGGTAAAAATATATAATTTTAAAAAATCACACGTTTATAGATTCCCAACTGAATGTAGATTGACATTTTCTGCGAGATTCAGTCAAAGAAGAAAACAATTCGCAAATACCTGAAAACTTCAAAACTAATTCAACTTTTGATTTGAATTTATCATTTAATTTAACATCGATTTATTTAACAGATGATTCTATTAAGACCACCATTCAACTTTTGAATTTGATGAGACACTCACTTAACTTTTGATGCTGATAAGACCTTCATCCAACTCGATGCGACATTCATTCACTTTTTATAATTAATTAGTCTTACGTTACTCACTTACTTTGATTCTGATCTTCATCCAACTCTTGATTTCGATGCAACATTCATTCACATTTTTATTATCATTAAACAGTCTTACGTTACTTAAGCAAATCTGCCCTTACCTCCCAGGGCTCCCTCAAGCTGTACCGATGGCCTCTGCCGAAGGACATAGACGACACGACAATCACAGGAGGCGACCCACAGTATGGCTTCTTCCAGGTAGGGATTAAACACAGGTTGGAAGGAACTGATTTGAGGTGTTTGTTATTTGTTTGTTTGTAAGGTTTGATTGGATTGATTGGATATAGGAAGCTTGAGAGAATTGTTGTTTGGTTTGGTTTTATAAGAAATAAAGGAAATGTTTCAGGATTCTTTTTAGTGTACAAATTGCAATGTTTAACTGATATTGCTTTAAGGTTTGTAAAAGGTTTTAAACGGGGCGTCGTGGCCTTAATTTGACTCTAATTACATATATTGTTTTATTTTTCTTTGTGATCTAGAAATGGAATGTGTCCATTATCCCAAAATCGTAAAAAATCCTTGTCTTATTCATGTTTGTTCCTTCCTTAATTGTATTTACTTCATTTCAAAATTCATATAAATGTTTGTCGTTCAAGGTAACTCATAAACGAACTAATCTAAATATGTATTCGATTTCAGCCGGTACTCAGTTCCACAATTATATTTTCTAAAGACGTATCAGATTTCCACACAGGAACCACCATCAAAAACGTCAGTTTCTATTTCACTTCAAACTTCACAACCATATCAAAATCAAATTCAAATTTGAATTGTAAATCAAACATCCCCCTTGGTTTGTATTTTTCCTTCTACCGCTCTCTTTCGGACGACCCATTGACGCTCCAGTCACATTTCTATTTCTAAATCAAAATCAAAATTGCCAACGTATATAAAAAAGAGAAAAAAAAAAAAAAGAAAAAAAAAAAAAAAGCTTTCTGTCGAGCAACTCACTCTTTGATTTAAAAAAAGAATAAATAAATAAATAAATAAATAAAAATCACAATCCCTTGGGGCTTTCCCCCGAACAACCCAGATGACGCTCCGGTCAGACTTCCATTTCAATTCCAAAATCAAATTCGAAAACCTTCACTCCCACAGGGCCTTCCCTCCAACGACCCGATCCACGTCCTGGTGAGAGTGTACGTGGTCCGTGCCTGCGACCTTCATCCCATGGACCTGAATGGGAAAGCCGACCCTTACATCCTGATCTACCTCGGGGGCAAGAAAGTGTCCGACAAAGAGAACTACATTTCGAAGCAGTTGAATCCCGTCTTTGGCAAGTGAGTGTTGTGGGGGTGGGGGTGGGATGATGTTGGAGGGGACGGAGGATGGGGGTATTTTTGTGTGTGGGTAGGTTGGTAGATAGGGGGGGGGTAGATATACTGATAGGTTGGTAGGTTGGTAGGTAGAGAGAGGTAGGTCGATAGATAGATAGTTTGATTGATAAACAGATAGAAAATAAGAGAGACAGGCAGATAGACAGACGTAAATATACTTAGCCATATAGACAGATACAGGTATAAATGGATAAAAACAAATTGTTGATATATCTATATTCAGGGGCGTGCAGATATATATTTCCATTTAAACTTATCTTCAAACAATAATCATTAGCCTAAAGCCTCATAGACATGAAGCCTAAAACATTGCCTGAATTGTTGCTGGTCAGATGTCAAAAACAGGATACACACATGCTTCTAAACAGGTCACACACGTATTTAAACGTGTCATACGATAACAGGTAACAGTGTCTCGAAACATGGACACAAGCACAAACACAGTAATACAAACAACAAGAAGAAATGGAAACAGCAACAATATGAAATGTATATGGTTGTTTCCTGTTTGTCTCGAAACATGTCCCGGATTCAATAATTTAATCGAATGAGGTCGACTATGCATGCAAAAGTACTTTCGGTACCCTATAACGAATATTTCGAACATGAATTGAAAACACGTTTCGAGACAGTATGCAAACGTACTCGCATAGCCTCAGAGCCAATGTTTCTAATATTAATTAAAATCGCGTTTCGAAACTGAATGCAAACTTAATCGCATAGTCTCATAGCTAATCCTTCAACATTTGAGTTTTTTATTTGTACCATATTATTATATATTTTGTACTATTTATTTATATATTTTATGAATCTATTTAATTCATTTTTTATTTCTGTACTTATTTATTAATTTGTTTCTCAGCTTATTTATTTATTTACCTATTCATCAGTTCATTTATTTATTTATCCATCTTTTCATTCATCCATCCATTTTTTAGTGTGTAGGGTGTAGCTTGTCCTTTTTTATGCCTTCGATTGTTTATTTTATGATACATGCTGTTAATGTCAATTTACTGATACGATTTTTAAAATTACCATTGCCATTTTTCATTGTTTATTATTAATGGCAGACAAAAACTGTATGCCTAAGAAATCAGTATCAGTTTGATTTGATTCATGATAGTTGTCGTTAATATTGTTCGTTTTTACTAATATCACTTATTATCAACATCATTACCAGTATTATCATTATCAGTTGTCATCATTTCGATTATATGATTATTGTAATTATCACAATTATAATAGTTATCATTATTATCACCACTAATACGGTCATCATCATTATAAATATCACTATCACTATCACCATCATTGCCATAATAACCACACCATCATTATAATTACCACGGTCACCATAATGCCCACATCGTCTCCTTACTCACTATTACCACCACCATTACCACAACGACCACACCATCCTCATAACCACTATCACTCTTACTACCACCACCCTCTCACTATCACACCTCCCTCTCACTATCCCCTACACCACCCACTCACTATCACCCCTCCCCCTCTTACTACCACCACCCTCTCACTATCCCCCTCTCTCTCTCCCCGCACCCCAGGTCGGGCTACAACCAGTGGCGCGACCCGATGAAGCCCACGCAGATCCTGGCCCGGTTCTGCAAGGAGGGGCGCCTCGACGGGCCTCACTACGGGCCGGGGAAGGTCAGGATCGGCCCCAAGACCTTCACGCTGCAGAACGACGACGAGCACGACCCCGGCAGGTTTCGGATGCTAGGTATGATCGGTAAGAAGGGGGTCTTTTGGTTGGTGCGAGGGGAGGGAGGTCCTTCTGGGGAGTGTGGGGGGGGGGGGGGTTTGTAGTGTGTGGGGGATGTGATTGTTATTGGGGAGTGGGTGGGGTGGGTGGTGGTATTTGTGTGCGTTTGTTTGTTTTTACTGAAATGTGTGTTTCTATGCATGGTGGAGGGCAGTTGTCCACGTGTGTATTTATCCGTATGTGTGCCTGTAAAGTTGTTCATGTGCGTGTGTGCGTGTGTGTGTGTGTGTGTGTGTGTGTGTGTGTGTGTATATTCATAAATACATATATAGAGAGATAGATAGATAGATAGATGTGTGTGTATGTGTGAAACAAATTAAATACTAAATCAATAAACATATTAATACATAAGCAATAGACATTATGGTACTTTCTGTCGAGACACTGGCTTATTTCAGAGAACAACTTGCGGGTCTAATATCTTTCCATTAAGTGGGTCCTTGAGCCGATACGCACCCCCATCACTTATCACTTCTGCCACTTCAAATGGTCCTCTCCATTTCATCTGCAGTTTTCCAGTGATACCTCAAACATTTCCTTTTATAAAAATACAAACGCAACTATGATCTCGGTAGTTTTTCAGTCTAGCTTCTGTCGTTTCCTTCACAATCTCCTGCGCTTTTGCGACATTATCACTGTCTGGTTCAGTCTGTGATAAGCGTCTCGACATATACATATATAGGTAGATAGATAGATAGATAGATAGATAGATAGATAGATAGATAAGGTCCGAAACAAATGAGACATAGCAAAATAACCCAAAGAACACCCCATCCCCAGCGAGCGAAGAACAGCTGGCACTCGCCGTTCTGCACCGATGGGAGGAAGTGCCAAAGGTCGGGTGCCGCCTGGTGCCTGAACACATCGAGACGAGGCCCTTGTACAACCCCGATAAGCCAGGCATAGAGCAGGTATTTTTTTAATCTATTTTCTTTTTTTTCGTGTATGATGCGTGTTATTGTGAAGATTTTATTATGTTATCAAATGCTGCTGTATTTTTGTTTTAATGAGTGATATTAATAGGTGATGTTGATAATGCTGCTGATGATAATGATAATGATAAAAACACTCACAATGTTAATATGGCAAGATTATTGACAATCAGTGAAATAGTGATTAAAATAATAACAATGAAAAAAGAACAGCAATACCACTCCCACTCCTAAACATTAATACCCCCCCCCCCTTACCCCCCAAGGGCAAGATCGAGATGTGGGTGGACATGTTCCCGATGGACATGCCCCTGCCCGGCCCGCCCCTCGACGTCACGCCCAGAAAACCCAAGAGCTACGAACTCCGTGTCATTATTTGGAATACCGACGACGTGGTTCTCGAGGACGACGCGTTCTTCACCGGCGAAAAGATGTCGGATATTTACGTCAAGGGGTGAGTGGTGGGGTGTGGGAGGAGGGGGAGGGGAGGGAGGATTGGGGGGGTGGGAAAGGAGGGAGAAGGAGGGAGAAGGTGAGGGGGAATTGGGGTTGATTAGAGGGGGCGGAAGGAGGTAGGGGAGAGGACAGGGAAGGGGTGGGTTTTCTAGGGGGTGTTGGGGGTGGTGTGTTGTGTGCTTGTGTGTATGTTTGTATGTATGTACAGTTTCCCACATTTCCAACTGGTACACTACGAATCTGGAGGTGACCAATATCATCTGGCAACACTTGGGTAGTATGTAGTATTCCGTGAGAGAGAGAGAGAGAGAAAAATGGAGCATCAGTATCGACCTGGGATGTGCCTAATCTATCTCCTGTCTCTGACGACCAGACAGAATTTTCTGATCTCATATTCTCTGTAAGTTTTGAATCAGTTTAAGCGGATCTCTCCATGTGACCCGAGTTGTTAGAATAAACAACCTATTCAGTGATTGGGTAATTTGCCATTCATAAATTCCGTAAGAATGTTGCGGAGAGACAATGAATCGGGTGAGAAAACCTTACGATTTACGTTACGGATATAATATGCGATTCTTAGGTTGCCTTCACAAATTAATGTGTTTACCTTCACGATTATAACGAAAACTTATATATATATATTTTACAAACATATTTTTTGTCAGAAAATGATCTGAGTTAAATGTTGTCATCGATGTTTTGCTATAATGATTGTGCTCAAGTTGCAGGTATACTAGTTCCAATTCCTCTTTCAAGCAATGATGTTGACATCGGACAAAACACTGGATTTTGTTTTCATTCATAGCATTCAATTCACAGAATACTGGATACTATGCATGTATTGCCAGAAATAAATAAATTCCTCGTACAGTCAAAATTTTTGTCAAGCATGTTTCGAATTCCGGTTCGAAGATCAGCATAGTACCTCGGGCCGGATTCTCAAAGGAGCCTTAAGTTGAGGCGCGCTGGAGGCCTTAACCGTCCTGGGGCCGGATTCTCAAACGCGTTAAGGCGCCGTATCTCTTAAGGCGCCTTAACTTACGGCCGAGCGATCTACATACATACACAGAGCAAGGAAACCGCCATATTGATGCGAGTTAAGGCGCCTTAGGTTAAGGCAGAGGGAGAGCAGCCTTCCGCGCTTGTCGGCGATCGGGAAATCAAAACTCTTCGCTCTTATATAAGGGAAATACAGCAGGACGGTTAAGGCCTCTAGTGCGCCTTAACGTAAGGCTTTTTTGAGAATCCGGCCCCAGCTGTCTTTCCCTTGTACAAGAGCGAAGAGTGTTGATTTCTCGCCCGCCGGAAAGGGGCTAAAGGCTGCTCTCCCCCTGCCTTAACTCGCACCAATATGGCGGTTTCCCTGCTCTGTGTATGGGTCGTAAGATCGCTCGGCCGTAAGTTAAGGCGCCTTAAGGAGATACGGCGCCTTAACGCGTTTGAAAATCCGGCCCCTCACTATTTGTATAGGGTAAAATAAAAAGATTCGAAACTCCAATTCATTAACCGAGTTTTGTCCGCGATTGTACCCTATGGGTGTATCAGTTGGAACTGTAGGGAGTGTGTGTGTGTGTGTGTGTGTGTGTGTGTGTGTGTGTGTGTACACGTATGTATGTGTAGCACATGAATATACTTTTATGTGTGATGTATTTGATGTTTACCTTTTGATGGGAATTTAATCTGTTTTATGGTTTACCTATTAACTTTTCCCTTACAATACCCACACTCATAGCAAATATTGGTAGAAAAGGAAAAAGAGAAGTAAAGAGGTATATAGATAGACAGGATAGGGTGGATTAAGAGAGAGAGAGAGAGAGAAGATAGAAGAGATAGAGAAGAAGAAAGAAGAAAGTAAGAGAGAGAGAGATAAGGAAAGAAATAAAGGAAGATAGAGGAAGAAGGAAAGAAAGAAAGGAAGATAGATAGATACAGAGAGAGAGAAAAACAGAGACAGAGACTGACAGAAAGAAAGACAAAGAGAGAGAGAGTGAGAGATAGTTGAAAACGGCAACCCTCCGACCGGGCTGCCCAATACCCAACCCCGCACCACATCATATATTCCCCTAGTCTAACCCACTATTCTCTCATCCAGGTCACTCAAGGGGAATTTAAGGCATCAAAAGGGGTTCTGGGTTGGTGGTTGGCACTGACATTTCCCTCAGGCACTGTACCTCTGCACTGTACGAGTCTTGCACTGTATCGCACTGTAGGATCCTCATGAGGTCCTTTGGCGTCTCGCGAACTCTGGCAATGATGCAGCATCTGTGGGTGGCTTGGGCCGGGTTTGGGTCATGCACATGGGAAGGCAAACATGTGCACATATACGTGGATACATACACGGATACACACACACGGACACGGACACGAACGTACACGCATACACGCGTGAACACAAGCATACGGACACACACACACACATACTCGCTCACTCATTCACTCACTCACTCACTCACTCACTCACTCACTCACTCACTCACTCACTCACTCACTCACTCACTCACTCACTCACTCACTCACTCACTCACTCACTCACTCATTCACTCGCTCGCTCGCTCGCTCGCTCACTTACTAACTCACTCACTCACTCACTCACTCACTCACTCACTCACTCACTCATTTACACACACAACACACACACACACACACACACACACACACACACACACACACACACACACACACACACACACACACACACACACACACACACACACACACACAATACACGAACACGCCCTTGAATACATACACAAAACGCTTGGTTCCTAACCCTCCAGGGAGTGCGATAAATAACATTTATACAACATGCAGGAAAATTCCATGACAAGCGTGAATTTAAATGAGTTTTGCGTAAAATCATAAGATTTATTTAGATTTTATAATCATTTTTTTTTCCTAAATGCTCAATTTATACTTAATTTTTTATTGTTCATCCCTGTGACAAAGTAATGATTATAAGAAAATCATAATAATAGTTATGACATAATAAAATAATAAAAAATACGATAATTTAATACTACACAAAAGTCTAATAATGATCATAGTAATAATATTGATGAAAATTAAAATGATAATATTAATAGCTATTACAAATTTGTCAAATATTAATACGTTTGCGGGAAGGGTACCAGGCTTAAGTGGAGAAGTAACATCAGATGAACAAATTAGTAAATACAATAAACACGCACATTTTAACATCCCGGGTGGGGGGTTGGGGGGGTTGGGGAGGGACTAACAGCCACTCAGATACTTGAATCCTGACGTATTGCCTGTGATGTTACGTATTTTGTTATGGTTATTATATTTCCTTCTTATTATGATTATTGTTATTTTTATATTATTACTGATATTGTTATTATCATTCATAACTTTTATCTTGTTATTATTATTATTATTATCATTATCATTGTTATTGTTATTGTATTATTATTGGTCTTAGCATTAGCATCTTCATCAGTGTCTTTATTATTTTATTATTATTGTCATTATTATTATCATTATTATATTCTATTGTTATCTTTTATTATTGTTATCCATTATTATGATTATCTTTATTATTGTTATTATGATATATTTTCTATTCGTGCACATTATGCATTTATCTTCTGCGTAATCTTTCCGTGATCTTGTGATTGTTAAAATCTTATTTCACTTCATTTCCATTTTCTCGAATTCTGTTGCATCACAAGGCATCGTCTCGTGATTGTGTTTCCCTCTGTGATTGTAACAATGTTGTGATTGTGTCGTATCGTGGACGTGATGTATCGTAGCCTGTCTGTTTGCTTGCTTTTTTTTTTTTTTTTTTTTATTGCTAGTCGTCATTGTGTCGTCTTTATTGTGATAGTCTTGTTCTTGTCTTTATTGGTCGTTGTCCCTTATTCTTGTTATTTGTTATTAGGTTTGGCTTCTTCTGGCTTTTGAATATTAATTTCTGTGGTGATTCTGTATTAATATATTATTATCGATTTTAGATTCATTGGTGTATATATTTTTGTTATCTAAATTTCGCTTTATCAGTTTTTGTTGTGATGATAAACGCATTTTCAGTATAATTTTAACGTTTTTTTGCAATGTGTGTGTGTGTGTGAGTGTGAGTGTGTGTGTGTGTGTGAGTGTGTGTGTGTGTGTGTGTGTGTGTGTGTGTGTGTGTGTGTGTGTGTGTGTGTGTGTGTGTGACACCCCGCTTCATATATTATTTTCTGCTTCAGCAACCCATCCCCATACACTGCACTCGTGCTTTCAGAAACCCATGCTTCCGTAGATTGCATTCACTCACGTCACGATTTTTAGCGTCTTGTCATGAGGTCAATTTCTAAAAAAAAAAAAAAAAAAAAAAACGAGAGGTTGAAGGACCTGTCATATGCCACATTTTTGCCAGTTGATTGTGTCATAAAAAGGGGGATTTGGGGGGAACATGTTTTATTTATGTATGTGTGTGTATGTGTGATAGGTAAGATAGATGGTTGGATACTGTGTGTGTGTGTGTGTGTGTGTGTGTGTAGATAGGTAGAAAGATAGATAAGTGTTATGTATGTGTATTTGTATATATATACAGATAGATAGATAGATAAGCGTTATATTTGTATTTGTATTGATAGATAAGTAGATATATAAACAGATACATATATGTGTGTTTTGTAAATTTATACACGTAAATATAAACATTGAAAGAAAATTGACAATGGAACATCTCGTCACGACTCCCTGGTGTTTCTTATGTACTGTCATATACATATATTTTTTTACATTATCCGTTTAAAAAAAAAAAAAATAAAGTATGTATAAAAAAATAACTTTCTTCCGGTGTTTTAATCTCGACGAGTTAATTTTTGTTGTTTTTTATTTTTCATACTTTGCCATGTATGGTGTTGTTTTTGTTATTATTTTTATTTGTTAGTCTCTCTTCATTAGCGTTATGTGCATTATTTTTTATTCTATTGTTATTAACATCGTTATTCTTAACATTTCTTTCATGTCGTTATTATCATCATTATTGTTATTATTTTTTTGTTATTATTATTATTGTTATTGTTGTTGATTATATCATTGATGTTATTATTATTACTGTTATTACTATTGATATTATTTTGTATGATTATGATTATTGTCATTATTATTATCATTATTATTGCTAATATTTTAGTTATTTTCATTGTTGTTATTTTTATCATTTTTATTGTTATTATCATTATTATCATTGTTATTATTATTATTATTATCATTATTAGTATTGTTGTTGTCGTTTTTATTAATTCTATTATTGTATTATTATTATTGTTATTTATTA